GTGTGTGTGTGTATATATGTATATGTATATATATGTGTATATATATATATATATATATATATATATATATATATATATATCCACACAAACAACCTCCCTCCCTCCCTCCCTCTGAAAGGGATTCCTTTCCTTTCCATTCAGCATTTGATCTTTTCACAAAACTTAGATTGATGTTTGTTTTTAAGCAAAGGTATACTGTTGAAGCTGTCACGGCGAGAATCACTGGGGTGTTGTGTGGATTCCAGGCTGTGTGGTTGTGTTCTAGAAGAGTTTTCTCATGATGTTTCACGTGCATCAGTGGCTGGCATCCTCTGAAAATCTTCTGAAGATGCCAGCCACTGATGCAGGTGGAACATCAGGAGAAAATGCTGTTAGAACATGGCAATATAGCCCAGAAACTACACAATACACCAAAGGTATACTCTTTGCAAAAAAAATCCTACCACTTCTGTATGAACAAAATTGCACAGGAAGACACAAATTCTAGATAGTAAGATAACAATTGTCTATAGTATAGTACACTTCCCGGCAAGTGAGTGCTATTAGTTATTGGAAATAAAATCCAGAAAGTTTGAAGCCTCGGCTCAGAAACCAGAATAACTCTTTTCTCAGCACCCAAATCCATTTAAAATCATAACCTTCTGATGAAATCCAGGTTTGTTTTGAACTGGGTGCAAGACTGGAAAGTATAAATCATCAATGATCAGCTACAACAATCAGTTAACAGTGAGTTCTTTGGCTACTGTGACCGGCAATTTCACTGCTATTGTGAAGGTAATGACTGATAAGAGTTGCCACCCTCTTTTGCATAACATCAAGAGTTATATTTTTTTATGGGGAAGCATGAATAGTTGTACTTCTTTTGGCAGCAGTACTTGAATCTGATTGTTCCTATTTCCATGGATATTCATGAATTCATACATATTGGAGAGAAAGTGTGTGGGGAGAGAAAGACAGGAACAAAGAGAGAGAAAGAGACTTGTATGTGTTTCACAGACTTGTATCACAGAAGATGTGATTATTAGATTATATTGGGAATGTCTCACTTTTATTCTGCACCATCTGATTCCACTGAATTTCATATATACTTATGTATAAGTCAACTTCATGTATAAGTCAAGGGCAGACTTAGCAGCCAAAAATGATGGATTTTGATAGGATTCAATATGAATTCAAGGGTCATTCTATAGAGAAAGGAAAACTGTAGTGTCGTCTTAGGGACTGTCTAGTCACACTTTGCCACCACTGCCACCATTTTTCTATCCAGGCATTCAAAAAACCTCAAAGCAGCCCAGCAACAGAAAATAAAACATATAATTATCCATTTTACTTCCATTCAGTTGACTTATAATAAATAAATATGTTGTTGTTGTTGTTCATTCGTTCAGTCGTCTCCGACTCTTCGTGACCTCATGGACCAGCCCACGCCAGAGCTCCCTGTCGGCCGTTACCACCCCCAGCTCCCTCAAGGTCAGTCCAGTCACTTCAAGGATGCCATCCATCCATCTTGCCCTTGGTCGGCCCCTCTTCCTTTTGCCTTCCACTTTCCCCAGCATAATTGTCTTCTCTAGGCTTTCCTGTCTCCTCATGATGTGGCCAAATACTTCAACTTTGTCTCTAGTATCTTTCCCTCCAGTGAGCAGTCGGGCTTTATTTCCTGGAGGATGGACTGGTTGGATCTTCTCGCAGTCCAAGGCACTCTCAGAACTTTCCTCCAACACCACAGTTCAAAAGCATCGATCTTCCTTCGCTCAGCCTTCCCTAAGGTCCAGCTCTCACATCCGTAGGTGACTATGGGGAATACCATTGCTTTGACTATGCGGATCTTTGTTGCCAGTGTGATGTCTCTACTCTTCACTATTTTATCAAGATTGGACATTGCTCTCCTCCCAAGAAGTAAACGTCTTCTGATTTTTTGGCTACAGTCTGCATCTGCAGTAATCTTCATGCCTAGAAATGCAAAGTCTGTCACTGCCTCCACGTTTTCTCCCTCTATTTGCCAGTTTTCAATTAATCTGGTTGCCATAATCTTGTTTTTTTATGTTTAGCTGCAACCCGGCTTTACTTGAGTTCCTTACACAACATCATTTCTCATTCTATTTTTTTTGGGGGGGGGGGGCGTCCTTTGCAGGCTAGAGGATTTGTGCAGGAGAAGATTTGGCTCATATAGAACTTTTCCTATTCCTGACTACCAACTTGCAGAACTTCAAACTGAAGTCCTCATGAGTAATATGACCAAAGTTCCCCAGGCCTTTCAGCTTTGTGATGTTCCTCACTGAAAAAAGTCACTTCCGGGTGGCATGTGACCTGGTAGGGGTGCTGATGGCTTGTGAAATTCAGCTTTGACATCTGCATGCATTCCTGAAAAACTCTCAAGTGCCAAAAAAGAACATGGTAGCTAACAAGTTTGGTTCAAATCTGTAAATGTATGTGTGCATGCTTTTCACACAGTTTTAATTTGTTTTAATATGCAACATACTTTAATCTGTTTAAATCAATGTTTATCATTAAAAATATTAAATAATTCAACACTTACCTTATTTGTGTGGCTGCCTTAATCTGGTTTGTAAATTTTTCCATATATATATATATATATATATATATATATATATATATATACATACATATACATATATATATATATAGAAAAATTTACAAACCAGATTAAGGCAGCCACACAAATAAGGTAAGTGTTGAATTATTTAATATTTTTAATGATAAACATTGATTTAAACAGATTAAAGTATGTTGCATATTAAAACAAATTAAAACTGTGTGAAAAGCATGCACACATACATTTACAGATTTGAACCAAACTTGTTAGCTACCATGTTCTTTTTTGGCACTTGAGAGTTTTTCAGGAATGCATGCAGATGTCAAAGCTGAATTTCACAAGCCATCAGCACCCCTACCAGGTCACATGCCACCCGGAAGTGACTTTTTTCAGTGAGGAACATCACAAAGCTGAAAGGCCTGGGGAACTTTGGTCATATTACTCATGAGGACTTCAGTTTGAAGTTCTGCAAGTTGGTAGTCAGGAATAGGAAAAGTTCTATATGAGCCAAATCTTCTCCTGCACAAATCCTCTAGCCTGCAAAGGACGCCCCCACCCCCCAAAAAAAATAGAATGAGAAATGATGTTGTGTAAGGAACTCAAGTATATTGGCAAATATATTTCTCTATGTTAGAAAAAGGAGTCTAAACATGCAAGAACAGCATTTGGGGTGGGGGGGGGGGGAGGCTACCCTTGCTTCATGAATATGCTATTGTACAAAAAAAGAGGTTTCAATATGACATGAAGCCAAAAGAAGCTCCACACATTTAATAAAGGATTCTCAGGTGTGTGTGTGTGTTTCTGTCTTTTAATGTCTGGTTGCTCCTGACACGATAAATAAATTATAGCCCACTATTGGCTACAACAGTGAGTAACTGGTACCTCACCTCCCCAACAGTGAGAAGACTCCCAAAAGCCAAACTACAATGTGCTTCTCGAGAAGGCTTTCTAGCAAGAAAAGGACCATTATACCTACAGAGAAGGAGAGGATGAAGTGGTTGCTTTTCTAGAAATTCCCATTTTTATGCAAGAAAATGAGTCAAACTCTTTGGGATTTGAAATTTTTTGGTGCCCTGCATAGAACATAAGATGTGGGTGTAAGTTTCTACCCTCAAATTGCCTGTCAATTTGGGATAACTTTATGAATTTCCTTGGGTTTTCTTAGGTAAGGAGTACTCAGCTGGTTTTGTCAGGTCCTTTCTCAGGAATATAGTTTACAGCACCTGGTATTTGTTGGTGGTTTTTCATGCATTTGAAGGTTTCCATCCAAGTGCTAACCAGGGTCAAACCTCTTTAACTTCCAAGATCGCAAAGTATCTGATGCCTTGAAGGTATTTAGACCCTAGAACATCGATTATAGTGACACAATCTTTTTATTCATCAAAATATCGAGGCCTTGATGTTTCGGTATTTGATTGACCATTAATCCCAGTAGGCAGAGTTCTGGTTTTAGTGGAATTTTGCATTTTAGAATAATCTCAATGTCTCTGTTAACACTGGGTTGTTGTAGGTTTCTTCGGGCTATATGGCCATGGTCTAGAGGCATTCTCCCCTGACGTTTCGCCTGCATCTATGGCAAGCGTCCTCAGAGGTAGTGAGATCTGTTGGAACTAAGAAAAAGGGTTTATATATCTGTGGAATGACCAGGGTGAAACAAGGGACTCTTGTCTGCTGGAGCTAGGTGTGAATGTTTCAACTGATCACCTTGATTAGCATATAATATAACTTCTGAAGCTTCCCTCTCCCTCTGTTGTTGACTGTGGGTGTGATATTTATATTTTTTTTTCACTGATTAAACAAACAACAGCTATAAAACTTGCCCCAGACATGCGGAAATAATAACGAAACGATTTCGAAACGATTTCGAAATGAATACGAAACGAATACGAAGCAATTACAAAACGAATTGAAAAATTCGTTTCGTTTTTTAGATGCTCCTGAATGGTTCGTTATCGCTTCGTAACAAAAAAAATAACGAATTTTTAACGAATTACGAAATTACGAAACGAAACCGCCCAGCCCTATCATGTAGACCCCACCACATAATCTTTGAATTTGAAATCATTTTAAACCATCTCAGGTTAGAAAATAAGCATGACGTCAGAAAATTAATTTAACCAGTGGACCTTTTACCAGTCAAGTTTACCTGTCTGAACTTCATGTGAAGTTCTACCTGGTGTCTTATTTATTCAAGCACTATCTCAGAGAAGCACCCAGTTAAGCAAGACATTAAAGAAGTGTGATAAGCCAAGCAACCTTGTTCCAAAATGGTATTTTCTCTTAGGCATTTCCTATCTATAAAGCATTGTTTAACTAGTGCAGGACCATATATTGGATAAAATAATAGACTTATAGAGTTGAAAGAGAGTCATCCAGTCCAATCCTCTGCCATACAGGAACACACAATCAAAGCACGCCCAATAAATTTCCAAAGAATGTCTGAGGATTTTCAGTATTTCAATAGTTTAATAAGTTTTCTTATCAAAACTAGCACTGGAAAATAATTGAGCTCAGTATAGACATTGTATTCAACTGGATAGGCTTTCTAGTTAATCCTTGCTGTTTTCATTTTAGAACACATGCATCTACATTTTGGCAGTGATAGTGGATATCTCCTAACACTCCCCCACAATTTACAGAGGAGCATCTAAGGAGTCTGGTGAGTGAAGAAAGGGAAATCAAACTATATACCTAGCCACATAACTGGAGTGCAAAGAAACCCTGTTTTGACTTCATCACATAGGCTCTCAGACCCATTGTAGGATGTTGAGAGCACATTTCCTGGACGGAGCCCACTGGATTCCTTCTTATGATGCACAGCTACTACTGGCAAGGCTCCGTCCAAGAACTGTATTATCAGCTTTTTAAGATGGAGCAAGGAGAACATGGGAGGCTTCCCATGTTCTCATTGCCAAAAATAGGGGCAGCATGGGGGGAATCCTGGCAGCTATGTTTTCCCGCATGTGATGGAAGGTGCCATTGCAAGCAATGTGAGGCATGGGGCAATGGATTCAATTACTGTCCCACAGATTCGCTTTGATGCCCGGCGAATTCCCCTGTTATCACCCATATTAGGGAGCTAAATTTGATGAGGTCTGTAGTGAACTGTGAAGATGCACAATGGGACACTATAAAGGTTTCCTGATGCACATCAAGCTCTGTAATGCTCACTGGCATTCCTTAGTCTTGACCAAATACACAGAGATTCCAATGAAACTCAGTCCTATTTGTGCATCAGTCCCAATGACCATTCACCACCTCATTAGATCCCCTACAGTAATATAACACGAGTCTTTTACTGGATATGATTTCTATTTATTAAAGTGTTTTATATCTCTCTTTACATAAGATTTTCAGGGCATCATATAAATAACCAATTTAAAACAATTTAAAATGATGTCTAATGGAGAACAATGAAATATAACTTAAACTGATGAACAGAATATTGCATAATCAAGAAGTTAAACACATCAAAATAGCTTTAAAACCATGCATTTGTACAAATTCATATGCAGACAATTAGGTCCCAAGAAAGAAATGGAATCTTGTTTTAACTCTGCACTGGAATTGTTTTATTTTTCTAGTATCTATACTATTATTATCCAAACAGAAAATCTCCATTTCTCCTTCACCAGCTCATATGCTGGACAACTGAAGTATGGAAGTGATGTTTTCAGCGTTGGACAACACAGAGTTGATAGGACCGCGGAAGACTACCTATGCTGCTCATCTGGGGTGAGATATCAATGTCTTTCGGGTCTGTGAGGGGTTTTAGCTTGAAGTTCTGCAAGATGGTGGTCAGGAACAGGAAAAGCTCCATGCGGGCTAGACCCTCCCCAGCACAGATTCGCTTGCCTGCAAAGGAAAATGATGGATGGGTGATGAATGGTTTGAAATCCCATAATGAAGAAAAGATACAGGAAATAGTATAACAGGGAGATGTGAAGCATTGCACCTTCCCTGTGTCTGGAAATGTATTTTCATCATGTAAAGACAAAACCATCTTAAGAGGGCTTTTTAAAAAGAACATGTTATCTGCAGAGAGATTTTAAGAGCTCTCCTGCCCCCCGTTTTAGGTGTTTATTTACAGACACATCATATTTGTGTGCATAAAAGTAATTTTTCTGTTCACACATATGTTCATTTAAAAGTCTCACTATACAGATGTTTCCTGAGAGCATCACTGTCTTCAAGGTATTTAGCACTGTATTTGCTTTAAACTCCTGAGATGGTCTGGATCAGTCCCCGTTTCATGTATTGGATCACCTGACAATTACATGGATGTCCGGTGGCGCAGTGGGTTAAACCCCTGTTCTGGCAGGACTAAAGACCGACAGGTCACAGGTTCAAGGACGGGGAGAGGCGGATGAGCTCCCTCTATCAGCTCCAGCTCCTCATGCGGGGACATGAGAGAAGCCTCCCACAAGGATGATAAAAACATCAAATCATCCAGGCGTCCCCTGGGCAACATCCTTGCAGATGGCCAATTCTCTCACACCAGAAATGACCTGCAGTTTCCCAGGTCACTCCTGACACGACAAAAAAAAATCCATGAAAGGGATCCCATACTGGCTTTGGTTCTACACGGAGCAATATAGGCATATAATTCTTTGTTAATGTAATTCTTGAAGGAAACAAAAGGAGGTTTTAGCTCCTTTAGCCTTCCCATCATGAGAACACCTTTGAAAGCTGTAGAGGTTCATGGTTTGAAATTTTACAAAAAGGTTAGATGTGTAATTGTGCAGTAAACAGCACTTTCTATGAATGTTTTAAGTTACTTCCTGCATAGCAATGTGATATAAGTTCATATCTATATTCTAAAATGCCCTGTGGATACCTGGGACCATGGATAGTAGTGAACTCTACATTTTTATTGAACGTGGGTTAGAAGCATAATGTTTGATCACACTAGGAGACCTAGAAAAATCAACAAGCACCTTCAAGATGTGTGTGTATATTTTTGAATGTGGGTAACTGAAATCGTGTATTAAAAAACCCATATATAAGGGATTCAAATTGTAGCAATAAAACATGAGAATTTTGCTATGAAAAAGTTCTGCAGAGATTCCAGGTTGCTTCTCATTGGGATTTCTTGACACTCAAGAAACTTATTTTAAACCTATTTTAAAATATGAAAATATTATTTCTATCCTAAGTATAGCAAGAGTAGCAAACTGTTCCTGGGTGGGGGGGGGGGGGAGATGGGGATGTGGTGGTGGTGGGATTAAGAAAAAAAAGAAGAGTAGATCCATTAAATCAGGCATTTAAATCGGTAAATCTACTTTTTTGCAATGGTTACAGTATGGTTGGGACTAAAGCTATGCCAACAGCTTTGCAATCTAGGCAGAGGAGGGCCTTTACAATTATATAATTACCACAATATTCTTCGTTTAGCTGTCATGGGTGGACCTATCTAAATCCTGGGACTTGTAACTTGATCAGAGGCACTAGAGTTCTTTATCCAGTAATTATAAATTTATTTTCCTAAATTTTAAATCCTAGGATTGGTAGGATGGCATTTAGATTAGAATATAATACCATAATTGCATTGTGAGCATGGGACCCAGCATGCAGTCTCTGACAATGGGAACTCATACTTAATAATCCCAACAGCAGACTATGAATTGCCCAACACCATGCTTCCATGAAAACTGTCCAGAAAGAGATTCTTGTACCTGCAGAAAAAGGCATGAAGTAGTCACTCTTCCTGAAGGACCCATCTTTATGCAAGAAATGTTGTGGATCAAATTGTGTGGGGTTTTGAAATTCTTTGGTGTCACATAGCACTGATGTCAGAACAGGGTATATTGTAGTACCCTACAGAGAATAAAGAATCCAAGACATAATTTCCTTTCCATCATCAAAATATTAATATGAGATATCCTGACAAATAGCTGTCTTTGATATATCCAAGCTAAGCAAAGTTAAGATAACTTTCTTTATAGAGAAAGAAGTTCAGGTTTTGAACTGGAAACAGTGAGCATACCTTGGGAATGACATATCCTCTGAACTCTGTGTCTTTGAGAACTGCATGGGGAACACTCAATGGGACAAGAGAGATGAATCTCTGGATCTCATGGATGACAGCATCTGTGTAAGGCATCTTTCCACGATCAGCCATGCAAGGCTTTCGTGCACCACCAATCACTCGGTCAATCTCTTCCTGTATTTTCGCTATTAGGAGATTGATGAAATTCAGCAATAAGGAACAAGCATTCAAAAAACAGCAATGGAGGGTTCGTCCCCTCTGTGGCTAACAGCAACAACAATAAAGGTTTTACAGTTCATGGGAGGGTACAACATAGTTAAAATACATAGATAAAACAAAGGACCATATTGAAAAAATGTAGAACAAATATTAAAACACCAATACTAATAAAATGTAAATTTAAAATTCATAGTTCTAAATGATCGAGTAAGCCTGACAGAAGAGATAGGTTTTTCATTTTTTTAAAAAAATTCTGAGAGCTCATTTAATTGTCGAAGCTCTTCCAGTAGGTCATTCCACAATCTAGCGGCAGCCAATGAAAAGGTCCTCTGGGTGGCAGTTGCTAGTTTTGTTCTGGCTGGTTGAAGTGAATGTCTCCCGGAGGATCAATATGTAGAAAGGTGGATTATATAGTAAAAGATGATCCTGCAGGTAACCTGGACCCAAACCATGTCGAACTGTAAAGGTCATAAACACTTTGTGCTTTGGCTAGAAACAAATTGTCAACCAATAGAGTGATTTTAAGGAAGTACTTTGGCCACATCATGAGAAGATAGGAAAGCGTAGAGAAGACAATGATGCTTGGGAAAATGGAAGGAAAAAGGAAGAGGGGCCGATCAAGGGCAAGATGGATGGATGGTATCCTTGAAGTGACTGGCTTGACTTTGAAGGAGCTCGGGGTGGTGACGGCCGACAGGGAGCTATGGCATGGGCTGGTCCATGAGATCATGAAGAGTCGGAAGCGACTGAACACACAAACAACAACAACAAACAAGAAAGGTGTAATATGCTCACTCCTAAATGTACTCCTAACCAATCTGACTGCGATTTTAGAACTAACTGGAGTTTCTGAACTTGGTACAGAGGTAACCTAATATATAGTACATTGCAGAAGTCCAGCCTTGAGGTTACTAGTATGTGCACTACCATATTTAGATCTTCCAGTACTAGGAAGGGGCACCGCTTGTGTATCAGCCAAAGCTGATAATAAACATTGCTGACCTTTGCTTGTACCTTGGCTGACATTTCTACAGAAGGAACTGGAAGCACTCCCAAGTGAAGACAGTCTTTCAGGGGGAGTGTAAACCTGTCCAGAACTATCCCCAGTTAAGAACCTTTAATAAGCACCTTATCTGGATTCAGTTTCAATTTGTTTTTCTTTATCCAGTTCATTATCTCCAGGTTTTTATTCAGAGAAGACACACTGTCCTTAGCTAAGGCTGTTTTTGAAGACATAGAGAAATATATGAGAAGTCTACTTGAAATACCTTGGAGGTGTTTGATCCCTACTCACTGGAGATTCCCCCTCTGATAGTCTATCTTCTTCTATCTGTCTTACAGAGTACAACACATCCCCATTCTCTATCCCACAAAGATACTTTTTCATGTCAAGTTGATGATGATTTTTTTTCTTTGAGCCCCAAAGGTTGTCCTTAGGGGAACATCTATGTCTTGGAATATTATTTCAATATATTTGTAGAGAGCTCTGAGGCTGCTTCTTTCGAATCAGTGAAGCATGAAGCTTCCAGAACTCCTTGTATGTTTTTCTATTGAGCAAATACATGAAAAAACGCAACTGTGAAAACAAATAACAAATATTAACAAATCAAAGTAATATCACAGTGCAGATGAGTTTTAAATATTGCAAACCAAATCAACATTATTTTTCATTCTATCCAAATCTATTGTTCCAAAACTTTGTGTGAGTTTCAAGAGCATATTTCCATGGATCCTTATTACACAAGTATATGCTCAAATGAACATGCATTACATATTCATTTGAGCATATATTTGTGTAATCTTGCCCTTTGCACAAGAGTTGTACCTCACAGTTAGGCTAAGGACCTACATCAGGCTTGCACAGAAAAAGTTTGAATAGCTATATTAGTTGTGCTACTCCACCACATTTCTGAAAACCAAATGTTTGCAGTTTACTGTGTATGTACTAGTGCATCAGCATGTGATAAATAGGAGGCTCCACAATTACAGTCAACCAAATGGCACATTCAAAGCATTGCCCAACAATTATGCAACATCTGAGAATTTGCAACTGTATGTGCAATTTTTAGAAATCAATGAACATAGTTATGAACTGAATGTGCAAATTATGCAATGGTTAAAATTGTGCAGCCACATGCATAAGGGAATGTGCAGAACACACTAATAGGATTCAATCTGTAATATATTATTCCATGTATGGAAGTTTAAGTTGCATAGCCCTGATGTAGAATCCTAGTCAACAAGGTTCTGCTGAATAGAGCATTCTGAGGAAACGGAGAGGGTGGAAAGAAAACTAAAGTGAAACTGTTGCCCTGTGGTCGATTTTTTTACCTTCTATTTCTGGATATTTCTGCAGTATCAGGAGCCCATATCTGAGAGTGGTGCTGGTCGTTTCTGTTCCAGCCGTAAACAAGTCAAGCACACAGAATATTAGATTCTCAATTGTGAACTCAGATGCATCATTCTGTTCTTCCTGGGGAAAAATGCAGTGCAATTAGTATGGAATCATAGAATAAGAGAGTTGGAAGAGACCACATGGGCCATCTATTCCAATCCCCTGCCAGGCAGGAAAAGCATAATCAAAATACCCCTGACACATCCAGTATCCTTTTAAAAGCCTTCAAGGAAGGTGCTTCCACCACACTCCAAGGAAGTGAGTTCCACTGTTGAACAGATCATAAGATCAGAAAGTCCTTCCTAATGTTCAGGTGGCATTTCCTTTCCTATAATTTTAACCCATTGCTTTGAGTCCTAGTTTCCAGGGCAGCAGAAAATAAGCCTGCTCTCTCTTTGTTATGACATCCTTTCACATATTGACATATGGTAATCAAGTCCCCTCTCAACCTATTCTTCTGCAGGCTAAACATTCCTAGTTCTTTAAAAAGCTCCTCATAGGGCGTGGTCTCCAGACCTTTGATCATTTTAGATTCCCTCTGGACACCAGCAGAATTAACTTACCCATTTTCATTAAAATATAATACAAGAATTTATTATATATGTTTTATTTAATTTATTTAATGAATATATAATATATAATATGTAATGCTATATAAAATATAATATAAGACTAGACTATTGGTGAGTCCTCAAAACAACTGAAAAGTCAAAATGTGCTCCAATGTCTAAGTGTCTACTTAGATCTACAGTGAAATTTACATGAAGATGTAACTGTCTATCAGATGTACAATGTTTCACCTACATCTGTGCCTGGGATCTTCTGAAGATGGCAGCCACAGATGCAAGCAAAATGTCAGGAGAAAATGCTGTTAGAATATGGCTGTACAGTCCCTAATCCATGCAATACCCCAGTGATTCTGGTCATGAAAGCCTTTGCAATATTTTTGCATTTAAAAGGCTCATTTGAAATGGCAGACGAAATGTTGCTGCCCAATGAACACAAAAGCAACCAGTCACTTCTGATATCTGAGCAAGCTTGTCCTCCTTTCTTGCAAATTTTATGATTTTGTTTTACCTGATCCATTTTAATATAGAAGCAGTCGATGTAATCTCGAGGTGAGCTGGGGTCCAGGGTAGCCCTATGTTCCTTAGCTTCTTCTAAAACAAACTCTGCATTTTTGTTGCTGTTGGAAAACACTTTATGATGAGGCCCAGGGATGAAGTCCATGAGAGAAGGAAAGATGTTGCACAACTATAGGGCAAAGCAGAAAAGATACCTGTAGATCATTTAGGTCATAACCATTCTCTCTTTCATGGCACCTGCAGCTAGATTGAACTTCTCAAGAGAAACAGGTAGAAAATGACTCTGCATCTCTAAAATCATATTGAAGAAGCAAGGAAGCTATTCTGAAACTTGTGAGTGTTGGGGAAAATGATCTTTAAATATTTGGAGAAAGAAGAGTACACATTTTTTGAAATAGTTAAAATGGTTTTAAAGATGCATTTCTCAAATTTCAGAAAACCCCGAAAAGGAGAAATTCAAACTGACAAAAACTTTCAGTTTGGAACATATACTGTGTAAAATTCATGAACAGTTTTTCCCACAGGAAAAAACCCCAGGAAATTCTTCTATTTGCAGAAACTAATTTTCTGTGCAGATAATTTGTCTGTGTACAAATCCCACATGTAATTTTCTAACTGAATAAGTTTGTATTTATGTATAACATTTTTCTGTACAGGAAAAAATGAATGCTAAGTGAAGAAAAATTATGCCCCCCCCCAAAAAAAGCTGTGGTTTTAAAAGAGTTCTTCACAGCAAAAAAAAACTTACTAAAATTATTCATTACTACTAGGCCTGTGCAATCAGTGAAAAAATATTTCAATACTCATTATGAAATTAGGAAGTGGGGATTAATTTCTAAAGTATTTTCAAAATTTGGGTCCATATCATAAATATAAGAACAAAAAAAATAGTTAACTTTTTTTTCCATTAAGTAACTGTGCCAGTGAGGAAACTTTAGGAGCTCTTTTCTCCCTCATTAGAGCTATTTTAAAAAACATTTTAAAAAATTACAAGAGCTATTTCTTTGAATTTTTATAGAATGACACAAGATAACAGGGGATCATTCCCCCAAAGTTTCAGAAAAAAATTACAAGAGCTATTTCTTTGAATTTTTATAGAAAGACACAAGATAACAGGGGATCATTCCCCCAAAGTTTCAGAAAAATCATACTTCTACTGATTTTTGAGATTTTAAAATTTTTTTGACGAAAACATTTTTTACAGCCTTAACAGCTATCTCATGGATTGTCTCTCTATAAGACTCATAACACAACATATGAACCTACAGGAATTCTATTTAGGGATTTCATCCCAGTCCAACACAGATCTTACTAGTATTGGAGCATCAGTCAGTCCAAACTACATATCCCAGAATTATGTGCTCTCTAAGTCTCTTCCCCAACTCACTTGCTAATACCACACAACTGTTTTTGTCATGGTGAGAAACAGCCTGTCTTTTCTTAATGTAAAGAGGAATGAGGCCTCTTTGGTTTTCCTCACTTGATTTCACTGAAAATGAAACTGACTTTGGGAAGGTTTTGAGAATTATAGAATTTAAACAAAAATATTGGATGCGTGTTTCAAGTCTTAAATTTCTGCATGGATGCTCTCTGTGTTTCTCAATATCTGTCCATATATACAAATCTTATGAATCGGGTATGGCAAATATAGTGAATCTACTTCCAGTCAGGCCTATTTTAGACCTAGAAAATGGTAGGCCCAAGGAATCGGCAGCCATCTTAGAAGAAGGTGCCGAGGGACTCCATTTTGGTAGCTCATTTTCCAGGAGGGGGCATGTGTATTTAAATCAGCCTTTGGAGGAAAAATGAGAGAGGGATTTGATTGGTGTCAGAGGAGGTGGAGCCTGGCTTGCCAAGAGGGAAAAAACCTTGCTTTTGAAAAGAGGTTTTGAGATCCATCAGAGGAGTGGGAGTTTGGGGTTAGAAGAGAAAGGGTGTTTAGGAGTGGACTGGTGTTGGGGTTAGAAGTAAAAGCCTAAGTCTGGCCAGAAGTTTGCTAGCAAGGTAGCTAAAGCGGACTTGCAGCTAATAGGAGATTAGCTGGGTAGTAGCAGGATAGTATCAGGTTAGATCTATCTGGGCTACTGAAGAATCTCTGGCAGAGACACTGTCCTGTTAGGTTTCTTGTTTTGTTTGGAGAGAGAGAATTCTCTTGTGTAACAAAGATAGAACCATTCATGTAACCATCACGCTTATAAGACACAACTTTCTAAAACTGCCAAGATATTAACTGCATTTGTTCCTATTCTAAATAATAAACTTTGTTGATTATTGTTCATCAAAACCTGACTCAAGTGTGGCTCAATGCTTGAAGATTACAGAAACAATCTAAAGCAGTTTTTAAGAAACGAATGGTGGCAGCATACTTAAATTAGTTCAGCCCTAAGACCTCAGGGTTAGGGCTGGCACAATCACACTCTTTCACCTTATACAAGCCAAGGGCTTAAAAGCACAGTTAGGTGGGTGTGTGCCGGTGATCTTTCAAAAGGATTTTGCATTCAGCCAGGCAGAGAGTCGCCAGCTTTCTGTATATCATATCAGCTTTTTGATTTCTGGAATTTTTATTATTGAATAAAATGTTTCCCAGAATAAGTTCCCTACTTATGATAGCAAAAAATTTAAAAATGCAGTTTTGCAGTTTTGCCCATCCCTAATTAATATACTTAATGAAATATCTGAACAAATCATTGTCTTTCTCTGTAGTAGGATGAAAAAAAAGGAATCAAATCCTGACATTCTTCAATTTTATAGACAAAAAACAAAGATTTCCTGTAATATTTCCTGTAATGTGCACAAACACAAAATTCAGTTCTGGTCTCAACTTTACATGTTGGTGGACAGTGCAATAGTGTACCACATATGTTTTTCTGCATGTACAGATTTGCAAGAATAAATGCTTAACAAAGTGAAAAGAACCATGTAGGAGTTTTGAAACAAAATACTAAAAACATAAAAAGGGCACATGAGAAGTAAGGAATACCATTAGTTGTTCTCAACATTTAATCAATTGTTGAATGAAGAGGCAATGTATAGGTGAATCTCAGTGATTCAATGAATCTGCTCTGATGGGGACAAGAAACTTTTGTTTTTCTATGTTTTTCCATTGACTCAGTGTAGATCCTCCACCCACACTCCACTCAATTGGCATTTATAGACACAGCAATGTGTCACTACCACAGGTTGGCAGCAATCTGAAAGTAAATATATTGGATATATGTACCAGTAAAGGCAATAAGAGTATATGGAATTGTGGAATGTCTTTAAATCTTTAAATTTAAACGGAACGTTGGTGGACAGGAAAAGAGATTTAAAGATGGGCTCAAAGCCAACCTTAAAAACTCTGGCATAGACACTGAGAACTGAGAAGCCCTGGCCCTTGAGCGCTCCAGCTGGAGGACAGCTGTGACCAGCAGTGCTGCAGAATTTGAGGAGGCACGAGTGGAGGGTGAAAGAGTGAAACGTGCCAGGAGGAAGGCGCGTCAAGCCAACCTCGACCGGGACCACCTTCCACCTGGAAACCAATGCCCTCACTGCGGAAGAAGATGCAGAGCAAGAATAGGGCTCCACAGCCACATACGGACCCACAAGGAAATCCATAATGGAAGACCATCTTACTCGTCCAACGAGGGATCGCCTAAGTAAGTAAGTAATATGGAATTGTGGAATGACTAATGAAATGGCCTTGGATTTGACTCCGGATGATGTGATTGTAATAATTGTGTTAATATTGCTGCTAATTTTTGTTTTTTAAACTGTATGTCTATTTTTAACTGTATGTATGTATGTATGTGCATGGCATCAAATTGCAGCCTTTTTAAGGCTGCTCTGAGTCTCCCTTTTGGAGTGAGAAAGGTGGAATATAAATGTAGCAAATACATACATACATACATACAAATGTACACACAGTGCAATCCCTGTTTATACACGTACATGTTAACAACAGGATTCTAGTCAAATTAGATACATATTTGACACAAAACTATATTTTAGGGCCTACCTGTCCCCAAGGAGAGCTAAAAACCTCAAAGTTTTCATTCATAGAGGACATTATGGATAGAAATCTCTTGTCATTGTACTCATATCGCTTTCCAAAGACAATTGAGCAGATAACATTGGAGGTAGAACAGCTGAGCATGAATGTTGGGTCAAAGGGTTTCTCTGGAAATAGAAAAAAAAGAATTAACTTGTCTCAGCCTGGATTTTAGGTAACCATGTGCTGTATAGTAATGTGGTTGAAAATATTTTTCACTGTATTAGCTTGTATCCTTTTCAGGAATTGGGTATAATGTCCTCATGTTATGCGGGAGACCTTAGTCTTTTCCATGTGCATACCTGCATTGGGGAAAATTAGATCAGAAGACATTAGATGGGTTTCATTTCAGGATTCAACAGTACCAGGTCTACATTTTCCTCTAAGAGCCTCTGAGACCAGATCAAGAAGAACCTTCTATCACTTAGATGAGTTGAGAGTGGGCGCAAAACCTGCTGTCATAATATCTTCCATCTAAAATCTGTAATTGGTTGGAACCAGGCTGAGAAAGCTGAAGACAGAGAGGAACCTTCTCAAGAAGAACCCAATGGGAATGGGAATGTTGAAGAGCAAGGCTTCTTACCCTTTGTGTCCTGCAAGTATTCTACAACATATTGAGTTTCATCTTGGATCCTTTCCTCAATGCTTTTCTTTCCCATCCCAAAGTTGCGGAGGGTAGTGAGGGCAAAACGTCTGAGCTGTTTCCATCTTTCCCCATTGCTGAATATGATTCCTGGAAAAGGGAGAAAGAGGAAAGAAAGAGGCAGAGGCAGAAGCAAAGGCAGAGAGAGAGGGGGAGGGAGGGAGAGAGGGGGAGACAGAAATGCAATAATTATTTTCAGATACGGCCTGAAATGCCACATCAAGTAAGCATTGTGTAATCTTGCACTCACAATTAAATGCTCATTGTATACTTTTAACTGTACAACTGAATGTGCAAGAAAATGTGAAATGTGAAACTGCCATTCATTGTGCACATCTGCATATATGCTGCTCAATGAATGGTGCAAATATGCATTTACAATGTATAGAGGCCGCACACAAGCAATAGCATCACATGCTCAACTCTGTTAAATTTTTTCTACAAAGAAAGTGCAATTAAACTAAAGTGATTGATTTTTATTTATCATCATCATTGTTGCTGTTATTCTAGGAGAGACCTATTTCAGTATTCCCAGAAAAGAGGTTAAAAAAATCCAAAAGCTGTCACTGAGAAATCCCTTTGACTTGTTCTCACCACACTAGTAAGTTAAGAAAATGAAATGTAGACAAGCACTTTTCTTGATTATTTCTGGGCACATACAGACTGATATGAACCTATACAGATTTCCAGATATCCAAATAGGGCCTTGCAGATCATAAGCAGTATGCAGAACACACTGATGTGCTGTTATAGTAATGTGCTTGTATGTTCCTTATCTCTAGTCCTGCTGACCTTGCCTTCCAGAGTATACTCCCTAGAATTTTGCATATTGCCTAATAATAATAATAATAATAATAACAACAACAACAACAACAACAACAACAACTTTACTTTTGTATTCCGCCACCATCTCCCCAAAGGGACTCAGAGCGGCTTACACGGGGATCAAACCCAGTCAAACAGAGTTAAAATATAACACAATAAATAACAAAAAATATACAAAACATCATAAGAACATAAACCATCAACAACCAGTAGCCAAGAGCATCCTGCTCCTCACTTGTGCTGCCTCCTCTGCATCCTCCCTGAAAGTTTTGTTTTTAATTCTCTAAAGGGATTTTGAGATAAAGGGGGATTGTTGTGAGTTGAATTAACCCTGTGAGGTAGGCAAAGTTGAGAGGCAGTGACTCCAAAGTTTACCTAGTATGTTTCCTGTTATTCTTGTTGTTTCAAAGGCTGGATGGGCATCTGTTGGGGGTGGTTTGACTGTTATTTTCCTGCCTGTTTGAAGGGGGTTGGACTGAATGGCTCCTGGAGCCTCCCAGTGAAATAGTATTGTTTAGTTTATGTTGGTTAAAATTCCTTAAAAATCAGTGGATGTTTCTGAAACTTTGGGGACATGATGCCCTGTTTATGTTGTATCATTGAAAATAGAAATTCAAGGAGATAGCTCTTGTAGTTTTTTTTTAAAGTTGTTCATTAATTTTATTTTTCAAAAATCAGTGGTAAATGTATTCTACCCATTATAACAAGTTTCATCCCAATAGCTCTAAAATGAGGAAGAAAGGAGCCCCAAAAGCTTTCCCACTTGCACAATTGTATAACAAAAAGTAACAGAAATTGTTATATCATTGTAGTTATGATATGGACTCCTCACGATATTTTGGAAACACTTTAGAAATGATTCACCACCACTCATAACTCAATTTAGTAGTATTTAAACTTTTTTTTTTGCATTGATCGCACAGGCTTAATACTTGGCATATAAAACAAAGTTTCTGATTACTTAACTGTTGTGCCTTCAAACGCAACAGCTGCTGCATGAGAGTTGTATGGTTACTAATGATTAACTGCTTTCATGCACCTTATTCTACCGATTCTCTAACTCTGTTTGTACTGCCTTTTTATTTTATGGTCATGTCTACATCACTTTATAGACATAACCATATGCCTACATCACTTTATAGCTTCTTCCTTCTGGAATTCCTCCCTAAAGAAATTAGAACAGTTTCCTCACTCCTCCCCTTCAAGAAAGAACTGAAAACCTATTTTTGTTCTTTGGTTTATTGAGAGGAGGATGAATAATAGCACTGTTTCCATCTTAGTGGCTCAAGTTGACAATGACCATTTAAGTTAATGTTATTGAAGAGCTATATTTTTATACAGATTTTAAGCATTCAGTACAATCAGTGATGACTGACTGACTGACTGATAACCTTTTAACCAAAGTCATGTTCTCTGTTTTAATTGTATGTGTTAATATTATTGTTTTGTTTCTATTTTCCAACAATAAATGTTTGCCATGTTTTCATTTATATTTGGAAGACACCCTGAAGAGAGGTGTGGGTTATTTTCTTCAACCTGTCCTGAAAAACATCTGCAAACTGAAAAACACCACATCATACCTTTTCCCTTGTTGATTTTGTCAGCTAAAGGCAACTTCCCCCTGGCTGAAAATTCATCTGCTCGGTCAATTAATGCTTCTTTGACTGCATCATAGCCATGCAGCACCACAACACGCTCCATTCCAACATACAATGTGAAAACAGGACCATATTTCTGACTGAGCTGCAGAAAGACAAAAAAACAAAAAACAAAAACCTAGAGGTTAGTCACCTCGAGAACATTATCCCAAATGATTATAATTTTGCATTCCTAAATCCTGAAGCTCCTGTATCCACATACCATAATCAGTCCTAAATTTAAATCATTGCATCTTGTTGCACTATTTTCTGCTGCCAATTAGTTTACCTGTTTCCTTTTTTTGCCAGCATTGAATGGTATAACAATAACAATTCATTTATTGTCAGCTTCTCTTTGCTGCTCCAGGTGGAGTACAGCGCAGTTAAAACAGTGAATGAAGTAAAACAAAACATTATTACAATATAGAAAACAAATACACACAGATAAAATGGAGCTTAAAATTTACCAATAAAACGAAGGTTAAAATACACAAATTAAAATTGATTAGGTAGGATAGATGTTCCTTGTGATGGGGATCTCTCTGCTCATATGCTTCAAATTACTGTGCACCCTATGTATAGATAAATATTCTGCAAATGGTTTTTTCCTAGCTGAAACAGTTTGACAAAAAACTGTTGAAATATTTATTGTTTTCTTGCAAATATCTGCTGAGGAGCATGGTCTTCATTCTTTATTTACCTTATGGATAGCCTGATCCAAGTAGTTGGCTTTCAGCTGTAGAATATTTCCAATGATGGGCAAAGGAGTAGGGCCAGGGGGCAACTTTTCTTTCCTCAGTGCCCTGCTCTTCCAGACAACAGAGAAAACAAGGAAGGAGATGAAGACCACCAGGAATAAGGTAGCTGTCCCCAGAGCCTCCATCACAGGAGCCGGATATACGCTGGAAGAATGGTTCCAGATTCAAAAGTGGAAAAGGCAAGTTACTGTGTTTCCCTATGTGATGTTTATATATTGTAAAGCCAAGAGATGGGTGAAAGTTATCCAATGGCCACTTTCACATTTATCAGAATAAAATAGATTAATTATTAAGTAATCTAACCTCGTTTCATCATTTGGAAATGAACTTTTCTGAACTTTACTCTGTGTTCTCTTTCTTGTCTTATGATTGATTTTCCAGGCAATTACAAAAGTGTTCCAATGCACCTTTCTTGATGGGGGTGGAGAGAAGAACAAAACCACCCAACAACCTGGTGTGGCTTTCAGGGACTTTATGGGATCTGTGATGCCATATGATAAGGTGCATGCCCATATGTACATGCACAGAATGCATGTAATTAAGGTGGAATGGGACTCATTGTGGGCAGTGAGCATTGACAATGACATTGTTCATACTATTAGAATGTTCTTTGAATGTTCCTGCTATCAGAATATATCTTCCACCTCTTCTTTGATCCTTTGATTAACTTTCACAAAATACTTGCTCATAACATAAGCATCCTGGAACTAGGTAAGCAAAGTAAATATACAAAGCAAGATCGTATGTCAGGGATACATAGCATGAATTTCCACCAGGAGAACTGATGATGCTACATAATTCTTATGTTGAATCGTAGTGTTGCACAACAGAATGCACAAGCTAATGAACAAGTTGATGTGCAGCCCAAAGCACATTGCAAAGCTCAGCCATATGCCCATTTGTGCATACAACACACCAAAAGAGCAACTCCACTTCTGCAGCCTTGGTCTGACCTAAATCACTTTCATAGCGGAATCTGTGCATCTGTATTTGATAAAGATCCCCTATCCTTTTCTGAACTAGTAGGAATAGTTTGGAACATGTTCACTCACTTCTTCTCTTATCTTAATATTAAGATATTGTCTTGCTTCAGCACAAGTGTGTGACAGCCAGTGAAACACCATCAGTTCATGCAGGTGTTACGTCTTTCCGTCTTCTTTTCTTGAGTACAAATAAGCCACCCTAAAGTGTCCTACATTCTCTCACTAGTTTTTAAACATTTATTCTGTTAATCTTTCAAATTTCTAGCCTATATGCATTTATTCTGTTGCCTTAGAGATTCATTTCCTTGCCATATACTAATGGGTAGAAGATGCCAAATATGACAATAATAGAAACAAAGAGTTGATTCATTAGAATCAATAGAGGAGACAATAATAGAATCAGAGACTTGGAAGGGTCCTCCAAGGCCATCACCTATTAGGGATGTAATTTTCTATTAAGGTTAGTTAAGGCAGCAACAAGTTATTTCAGTAATTTTCTTCTTGCTATGAGAAAGTATATGGAAGGTAAACCGTTTTTGAAAGTTATTCATAATTTCCTCTTCACACCTTCATAATTTGGTTCAGGTTAAATGTTGACAAGTGAGATGGTAAGAAAGTAATCTCTGGTAACTTGGAATAGTTATCTTGGGCCCCATTTCCACTGCCATATAATGCAGTTTCATAATGCAGCTTAATGAGTCTACGGTGCCATATAATGCAGTTCAATGTAATTAGACTGCATTATGAAACTGCATTGTATAGAAGTGCAGATGGAGCCTTAGTATTGTGAATTAAAAAGAAGAGAAAGTAAGAAAGGAAAAAAAATATTGAATAAAAAGAAAATCCAGATTAGAACTGACAAAAATAACAAAATGAATTTCAGTAAGAAGAAATTTAGAATACTACATTTTTGGCAGAAAAAATAAAATGCAGAATGGATGACACCAAGCTTGACAAAAGTCCAAGTGAAAAAAAAACTTGGAGTCTTAGTAGACAACAAGTTGAACATGGGCCAACAATGTGATGTAGCAGATAAACAAGCCAATGGGATTTTGAGCTGCATCAAAAGAAGCATAGTGTCTAGATGAAGGGAAGTCATGAAGCCACCCCCCCCCCCCCATTCTGCTTTGGGCAAACCACATTTGGAATACTGTGTCCAATTCTGGACACCACAATTCAAGAATGATATTGACAAGCTGGAACATGTCCAGGGGAGGTTGACTAACTTGACTAAAAGTGTGGAAACCATGCCCTTAGAGAAGGAACAAAGCAAATAATTTCAGACTTTAAAAAAATGTGATGTTTTTGGAGGTACAAGAAAAAGGTCAAGTGATAAAAACAAAATGTGCTGCTAGTTTACAAAATTTTTCAAGAATATGCTGTCGGAGACCTTGAAGTGATTCTTCCCTCACTACCCTAAGTCTTATCAATTATATTTATTGAATCACCAAGTATCATGCTGGAAGCAAATCCACATAGATAATTTGGTATATTGAGTGCAGCCTTTTAAGCCTATCTACTCAGTAACAAACAGTCATCCATAAAACCGTGTATGCTCATTGATGTGGTTCAACAACATACCAGTGTACAGAAAGTAGCGGGCATCTCGATAGGAATGTGATATTAAATTATCTTAACTGTCTTCTACAATTAACTTTTGTATGCTTTTATTCTATTTAAATTATTTTTAACTGTATTAAATTATTTGTATCATGCTGTGCCCTGAGATCTTTAGATATAGGGGTCATAGATCATAGAATCACTGAGTTGGAAGAGACCTCATGGACCATCTAGTCCAACCCCCTACCAAGAAGCAGATGTAGGGAAATAATAAAAATATTTATTTTTGAGAGGAAAGTAGGATATAACGATGATGATTATGATGATGATGATGATGGTAACGATGATATATATAATAGGAATCATTTTATGAGAAATATAAAAAGCAATTTTATTCTAGATTGTCTCTGGTAATTCTCCAAGTATTTTGCTTTGGCTTGTGGTGCTCTAGGAGATATGAGTTTTGCATGGATTTCCTTTTTGCCCTTTTGGACTTGGGTTGTTTTTCTTAAAAAATTTCCTACCAGCATGTCAAAAATCTTTGTTAATATGCATGTTTCAGTCAAGATTGCTACCAATGTTATTGAAGTTCATGGAAATTCATCTGTCCCTGGCCTCTCACTACCGTGATTGCTGATCTGCCTGCCAAAGTCGACCCCGTTCAACAAAGTTCAGTTTACATAAGATAAGACAGATGCCAGATAACTGGTGAGTTCAGGCAAGTGCAGGTGCTTGTCAAGTCAGCAAGGCTTAAATCATGTGTGATGTTATTAACTCTACAGAAGTAAAGGATAAAGAGCAGAATTCACAGGATTAAATGAATAGGGATTGAAAGAATATTCAAAATATGCAGAGAATAGTTTAGAAACACATTTTTGTTGCTAAGAAACCCTGATGAATCCTGGATTGATGAGGTTCTTTGGAATTTGAGACTTATTTTGTGCAAAATGCACAGAAACCAGAATTTTCTCCACAAGAAATAGTCTTTTCTGCACAGAAATGTGTAGCAAATGTTATAATTGGAAAAATGTTATGTGTAAAATTTACAGAAGACTCATTTGTGTAGAAAATAACATTTTTGCACAGGAATTAATATTCTTTTCAGTGCAAAAATGTTTTCTGCATAAAGCACCTAAAGGCAAATTGAAAATAGCTTTTAAAAGCTATATGGTTTTCAAATACTTTCTCACAGTTGGAAGCAAATTGCAGCCTCAGAACACAAGTCTGCAAACCTCCATCACAGCTGCCAGACACTGGTTCAAAGTCTGGGAGGCTTCCTTGGAGTTTGGTGGAAAGGAGTAGTAGATTTGAATGCCATCTGTATACAGATGGCACCAAACTCCAAAGCTTTGAAAGACCTCACCCAGTGGTTTCATGTAGATATTAAAAGCATAGGAGATAGAATGTAACCTTGCGGGACCCCAGAGGTCAAAGGCCAAGGGTCTGAGCAGGTATCCCCCAGCTTCACCAACTGGGAGTGACCCTCAAGGAAGGAGTGGAGCCACTGCAAAGCAATGCCCCCAAGACCCATTCTGGAGAGCCGCCCCAGAAGGATAACATGGTTAATGGTATTGAAAGCCGCTGAGGTGTCCAGGAGAACCAACAGGGACACACTCCCATGTCTAGCTCCCTTCAGAGATCATCGACCAAGGCGACCAAAGCCATCTCTTTACCGTGGCCAGGCCTAAAACCAGACTGCGATGGATCCAGATAAGTAGTGTTGTCCAAGAATCCCTGGAGTTGTGAGACCGCTCTAGAACCTTACCCAGAAAGGGGAAGTTAGAAATTGAGCAATAGTTGTTCAACACCGAGGGAGAGGGCCTTCTCTATGGTGGCCCCCCAACTCTGGAACTCACTCTCTAGGGATATCAGACAAGCCCCCACATTCAGTCTTTAGGAGGAGCTTGAAAACACGGCTGTTCCAGTGTGCCTTCCCTGAATGAAGGAATCAGTGCCCTGATCTGACTAATTCTTGCCATATGTCCTCTGAAGCACTTTATTTACCTGATGGATTGATGTCCCCACATTATCTTCTAAAATCCCCCTGTTTAGACATACTTTATTTCTGTTCATGCCACTGTTTTAAAATTTTTAAATCGTAAGTATTACATCTGGCTCTGCCCACAGTATTTCATTTTTTTGTGTTATTGCTTATAGGTTATTTATTATATTGTATTGTGCTTTAGTTGCTTAATTGCTTTGTTGTTTTATTGATGTATTTGTTGGGCTTGGCCTCCTGTAAGCCGTCCTGAGTCTCTTGGGGAGATGGTGGTGGGGTATAAAGATTATTATTATTATTATTATTATTATTATTATTATTATTATTATATGATTGGCAGGCCCTTCCCCATTTATCCTCAAAGTGCCAAGGAAGTGTTGCAAGACGCTTCCTCAGCCACAATGTCTTGGTAAGTATTTTTCAGGTAGTTCCAATGGAACAACCTGCATTTCTTAGCCATTTTCCCCATCTGATGGGGACAAGGCATCAACGTGCCTTGCCCATTCTCCCTGGTAAGTATTTTTCAGATAGCCCCAATGGACCTGCCTGCATTTTTCAGCCATTTTCCCCATTTGATGGGGACAGGGACAGGATGCCAACATACCTTGTTACATTCCCCCTGTCTGATGGCCAGCGAAATTGTAAGTGGGGAGGGATGTGTGAAGAAGTTCTTATGTTTCCTTTT